TGATATATACGATATTTTACCAGTTTTTTTTATATTTTCAATATGTTTTTCATAAAGAAATGAATGGTTTTTGGACTTAATATGCTAAATTTAGCATTTTTATGGGTTTTGAAGTTAATATAGGAATTTGGAGCATTTTAGGCCTTTTCAAAGAAGGACAAATCCTAACCGTCATATGTTTCGCTCCAGATAAAGAAGTTATCACCAATAGATCAAGCTCATATTTATAACGAGATAGGGGAGGATCTTAGCTTTAAAAGGAATACGCTACATTCCGACGGTTAGATCTTGAGTTATCATCGGTCTACTAAAATTTGGTCGAGTATGGATCAAGTTAAAGGCAGTTCAAGAATATTCGCCAGTGATCGACCGGTCACCAGAGATGATCGATTGGACGCAGAGTCCCTGGTCTTGACGCATAGACGAATTAACACAGTGATCGACCAATCACCGCATTTGAGGAAATTGAGAATTTTTCCTTTTTTGATGTTATCTCCAAATCTACAATGGCTTTACCCTAAAACTCACGTATCCCCTATATAAAGACAAGAGCAGCCACGACAATAAAAATCACGCTTTCCATTACCATCACCTTAAAAGCTCTAAGTTCTTCACAAGATTTAGGAATTCCTTCATCTAGAACCATTCATAATAACATGTTTTAGGGATTGATCACCTTGAAATTGATCTTAGATAAAGTATTGTGTGCTAACTGTTTCATATTTGACTTAAAAAGGATATTTGATGAGTTTGATTCTTTAGGTTGCGAAAGTTAAATTTATAGGATTGAATGAACAATTGAACATGCTTACAATTGCATGAGAACTTAGTCTTTATCGCTGCGAGAGTTGATTGAAAAGGCTAAATTGAATTAGTAGCTAATATCGCGAGAGCCTTCTTAGCTTAATATGTGTTCATGTTCTAGGAAGAAAATCGAATCAACTGCCTCTAGAAAATTGCTTGAATAGTTCGAACTGTGAAACCCTGAGAATCCTTGGACGCCCAACGCTTTCTTATTATTGTTTAAAATTGAATTTTATTATTATTTTGATCACTCTCAAAACAATAAAACATTGCTTGGCTTAGCGTAGTTCTTACTTTATATTGCTATTGAGTGCTCTAAATCTCTGTGGATTCGATTTTTAAGTACTATGATCGATTGGTTGTGCACTTGCGACCTAGGTTGTTTTATTTTGGGTAAAACTTTGATTTCACCCCTACTAATATGACTTTCCTTTCTCTTGGGTACTAGATTTTGACCCATGCCAAACGTGAGATTAAATACTTAAATATATTTTCTAATCGATCTTAATACTTAGATGTGTATTATAATATTTATAAACATACAAAATGATATGTATTGTGCATAAGTGTGATAAAGTTAAATTTTGATCAAACATATTTTGATGTCATATGCTTTTTGATCAACTTTGCATAAAAATATTAAAACTAATACAAATGTTATTTATTTCAATTTATTTGAAGTGTAAAATTAATTTTTATTATTTGTATAAATTATAGAGCATGTGATAAATCAAATGAATTTTTAGATTTTTATGTTTTTGTCGAACATAACGAACGAAAAATATATGTTTTTCAATAATAAAATGTAAAAATATTTGCACTACAAGAAAACAGGCAGTGGCCGACAGGCCTATTCGTCGGTTAGGCGTCGGTAAAGGCCGTAACCGACGAAAAACCGAGGCAAAATTTCTGTCGGTTCTATCTCGTCGGTAAATCGATTCCGTCGGTTAAAACCGACGAAAAACCGACGCACCTAAACCGACGATTAACCGACACTAAATCGTCAAACAAAACCGACCGAAAACCGATGATAATACTGACAGTAAACCGACGCAAAACCGACATGTTTTCGGCCAATTGTAAGTGTATTTATCATCTATTTGTTACAAATATAATAATTAAAAGCTTATTAATATATCAATTTTTTTTTTAAAATATGATGGTAAGTCTAAATATTACATTTAGTTAAACTTAAATCTGTAAAACATGTATTAATGGATTTATATAAGTCTAAATATTACATTTAGTTAAACTTAAATTTGTAAAACATGTATTAATGGATTTCTATTATAAAATTAATAAAAACATGTAGATTTCCACCACATATATTTTGAATAGAAATATATTTATTGGTTAATTTAAATGACATGTTCTTCAAAAACCTCATTGAATAACACATATGATTTTTCATTAAATATCTACTCAATTAATATATAGAGGATTAGTGACACTTTTGGAAACAAAATTCTAAATGATGGCATTTTTGAAAAGTGGCATCTCAAAAGTGGTATTTCTAAAAAAATTTCTACATTTAATTTAAGTGTCATGCAAATTAATTTTTTAAAATAAAATATGAGAGATATTTACCATTTGATCTTTGTTCTTTTTACTTTCTCCCATGTATTAAAAAAATAATAAATTTTTGTTTTTGAATATTCTAATCCCGCGTTTGAGCGGATCAAAAAATTAGTAGTTAGTCTTATTAAAAAGAAAATAAGATATTCTCACATAAAATCTTTCATATTAATTACCACATATTTGTTGCTTACATATTCGTTTGATGATTATATATTGTATATATGATATAAATTTGGTGGGTAATTGGACTAAAATATAGTTGGGTTTTCTAATTATTTATTTTCATAATGGTTCATGTCATTAAGAATTTTTAATAGCTTTCTTTAAGAGTACTTTAAAATCCTCTTTGCATGACACCTATGATTTTTCATCTATTGTCTCCTAATATATATAGAGGATTTTATTCTCTAACGCTCTTTTCAAATTGTGTTGATCTCTTTCCTTATGTGAAACAAAAAAAAGAGACGTTGCATGTTTAATGCAATGTTTAATGCAAAGAGACGTTAGTGGTGTGACTCTCTATAAAAAGTCGGACAAGAGCTTTCTTCTAAAAGGTATTTGCTCTTTTAGTTTAAGGAGAGATACAGAAAACAGAGTTCTTACTGTGTAGCCAAAGTTTTACAAGAGATTACTTTGGGAAGAGATTGTTGTTCGTGTGAGGATCACAAAGCAAAGACTTCCACAAGAAGAAGACAACCATGATTAAAGGAGAGTATTTTGGTTTTACTTAATTACCTTAATACATGTTCTTAGATAGATGTATTAGAACTTATGTTTAAGTTTTAGTCTATCTTGTACTTGTCTTCTTTAAGTGATCTAATAACCTTTTTTGCAGCCGAGGCCTCGTTAAATCTTGTGTCGACTCTTTGATTTTCATTGTTTTATCTTTTCCGCACTTTGATCAATAAAAACTAGTATTATATAAATTTTATATGGTATCAGAGTAAGTCACCGATTAAGTTGATAAACTTTTACAGTGAGATCCGAATATGAGACTAGATGGAGCCTCCACGAGAAGGCAGCTTTGTTACACGTCCTCTTTTCTTAGATGGCAGGAACTACGGGTATTGGAAAATCATAATGCAATCCTTCATAAATTCCATTGCTGGAGGTGCTTGGAACTCAGTGTTGACTGGCTACAAAGACCCACTTTTGACTGATGTTCAAGGAAACACTGCAGGAAAAGTGAGATCGCTTTGGACTGAGGAAGAAGTCAAAAAATTCATGAGCAACGGCAAGACACTAAATGCAATATACAACGCAATGGATGTCAGCCAATCCCGGACGATTTCTTCCTACAAAACAACAAAGGAAGTATAGGATGCATTGGAACTACCTATGAAGGAACATCTAAGGTTAAACAACCTAAACTTATTATGCTTAAATCTAGATTTGATGAAATAAGCTAGGAGGTCGCCCTAATTTTCTATCTCTCAAGCACGCCGCCCGAGATCGCCATTGGAGGGCATCGCCTATGAAGAATGGATCTCCACCTCTCGATCTTCATTGCCGGCACGTCTCCCCTGAGTAGATCTGTCACTGCTAAAGCTATCGTCTCGCTGTCTCTCCGTGGCCTCAACTTCTCCGGCGACAACATCTCCATTACAGTTCTCACTCTAACATCCAACAACGTCGCCCTCTCCATGGCCAGATTCGTTGTCGACGGTGAAGCTTCTGACAATCCACCTCGAGCCTCCAGACCCGCCTGATCCCCCGGATCCTTAGCCACTACCTCTGTTGGTGACCACAGACGAGGTTTCCTGTAGATGCGCCGTATGCCTCTGTGTGCGACTTATCATCTTCTTTGTTGTTGTCGTGAGAAGCTACAAATCACCAGAGAACTTGCGTGCAAAAACATTGTGCATGTGTATCGACGAATTTCACTCACCGCAACGAGACCTAAAATCGCTACTAACACATCTACTGCATCGCTCCATTCCCGAGATGTCGACGAGAACCGTTCACTTTTCTCACGAAGTTGAGTACTTGTTCTCTGCCAGAAAACTCCCCTCCTCTGATGCTCCGGCTGTCGATCATGTGTCTGGCCATCGACCTTGAATCACCCGTGGGAGCTGCAACATTTCATCTTTGTTTAGGTCAACGAAATTTGAGTCTTTCTCCCTTTCTCTTAAGCACGCTTTGGACAAGTATAGTCCCCGTGACCCCTTGGAAGGTTTCAAATTTGGTTAGAATCTATCTTAGATTAGGATTCATATTCCTTAGATTAAGGATTCAATCGCTTCTTATTGTGAAGAAGTTACGTTTCGGTTTCGTCTCCTTTTACCTCAATATGAGGTTCTCTTACCTCATTTAGAGGTCCCTTTACCTCAATTTGAGGATCTCTTACCTCAGTATGAGGTTGTTACTCAACATCTCTTATCTTGTTATGTACAATCTATTGTTATGTTGGTTGTCTTATTTGATGAATCATGATTACACTTCAGAGAGATAGGAGATGGACTCACTAACACCAATCATGGATCTTTTGTATCAGGTTCGGTTGTTTGGCAATGGAGGTTCTTGCATTTCCAAACCTCCTCGAGGCTGAAGATTTCGTCACAGTTCCCGGGCGTATCGAGCAATAGATAACCAATAATTCTTTGGGCTTGTTTGGCTATTGTCTTCTCCTTTATGGAGTTTGTTTTCCTCCCAAAATTTTCACTTGTGATTAGTGGTGTGAGAGCATAGTGTCGAAGACGAATCTGCTTGGAACAGAAGCGAGGACCATAATCATGTCTCGTTCGATAATAGATGGTGCTATCTATTTGGCCTCAACGACCATTAAGGTGTATATCCCCTCTCTTAGTGGTTTCGATCAGGATTTTGTTTATCCTTTTTCGATTACTGCTTTGATGGTACTTGCGAGTTCACTTCTATCCCCAATGTTCTATTTCAGTATTTATTGCATTAATTTTACCAATTACTTAATCAATATGTTGATTGAGACTTTGGTTTATTTGGCTATTTGTGGTTTTATTGTATCCTTCCTTAGTGAAGGTTAAACTTTTCAATTTTAATGAAATATCGGTTTGACCCAAAAAAAAAATCTAGATTTGATAGTTTGTTAATGCAGCCAGAATTCTACAAAGAACTAAGAGATATTGCAAATGAATCGTACATTCTTGGAAAAACATATTCGGACTTTGACACGGTCATGAAAGTGTGAACACCATGATATTTACCTCCAAAGGAATGATGAAAGTTAGAAAGCACCATGATATTTTGCCTTCTCCTTCTAATTTATCCATTATATGTTACCCATTGTGTCATCAAAAGAGAACCAACCCCATGGGGAAGGTTTTGTACTACTATCTCATACCTTTGCATTTTTTTTTAACTCCATAGGAAGTACAATATCGCAATATTCAATCTATCTAGAGAATGTCTCAATAATTTAATCTTCTTCTCATCAACTGCTTCATACATGTCTCGTCCACTACGCAAATATTTAAGATCGGAACATCCGTACATAAAATAAAAGAAAGATAAGGATCCCTATTGTCGTAATCCCTATATGTATGCATCCTTTCAAATTATTATATCACGATTTTACAGGACATCGAGTTCACATATCTCATAATCCATGCGTACCAGATTTTAGACCATTTTAATCATAAATCATATAGTTGAGTTCCCCTCACAAACTCTTGACACATAAGCATCCTTCTTTATGCCACATCATTATT